GTAAAATGTGGGGTTTCAAATTCTAATAACTGGCAAAATAAATATTAACTGGAAAAGGATCATGTGTAGTTTCTTGCAATAGCCATCTCAGACTTTAAGGAATATTTGTCTTAAATATTTGTTTGTTTTGCATGTTTTAATAACATCAATCCACTTTCTCTCCCCCAGGTGGCCGAGTACGTCGGGGCCCCCCTCAATGTCCAGAGGAGGTGTTGGAACCTCCCATACCTCAGACTCCTGGAGCGGACCAGCTACCACCGGCCTGAGGAGAGACACATGAAACGAGGGGTTAATACGGTAACCAGGGGGGAGAGTAACAACCTGTATGTCACTTCGTTTATTCTCCTCAGGACTTTAAACGGCCCCACAAAACCGCGGGCTCAGCTTCCGGCAGGGCAGGCAGAGGGGCAGATTCCGGTTCGAGAGCCAGACCTGATCCCCCGGTACGAACACCGGGGCCTCCCTGCGGTGGCGGTCAGCGTTGGCCTTCTGACGACGCACAGTGCGCTGGAGGCGAACGTGGGCAGCGTCCCCAAGTCTCCTCCGCGCGCCAAAACCAGTCATCCACCGCAGGAGCCTCGGTCTGGCTCTGATGCCACGGTGCCAGGACCGGTTGGTAACCCAAAACACATTGGAAGGGTGTTAGGTTAGTGGAGGAGTGGCAGAGAGAATTCTGAGCATATTCTGCCCATGGCAGGAACACCAACCACTCCCCCGGCCGGTCCTGACAGTAGGTCCGCAGGAACCTACCCACATCTTGATTCACCCTTTCCACCTGCCCATTACTCTCTGGGGGGAAATCGAGAGGTCAGGCTGACCGAGAACCCCAGACGTTCCATGAATGACTTCCAGACTCTAGACGTGAACTGGGGACCTCGGTCGGACACTATATCCTCTGGTACCCCGTAGTGCCGGAAGACGTGAGTAAACAGAGCCTCCGCAGTTTGTAGGGCCGTGGGGAGACCGGGCAGATGAAGGAGGCGGCAGGACATTGAAAAGCGGTCCACAACAACCAGGATAGTGGTGTTACCTTGGGAGGGGGGAAGATCAGTGAGAAAATCAATACTCAGGTGAGACCATGGTCGTTGTGGAACTGGTAAAGGTTGTAGCTTACCCGCTGGGTGGTGCCTAGGTGCCTTACTCTGGGCGCACACTGAGCATGAGGAAACATACACCCTCACGTCCTTAGCCAAGGTAGGCCACCAGTACTTCTTGGTCAGGCAGCGCATTGTACGACTGATACCTGGATGACCAGAGGAGGGTGACGTGTGTGCCCAGTAGATCAGACAATCACAGATAAGCGCAGGCACGTACTGCAGCCCAACTGGACACCACGGTGGAGATGGATCTGTGCGTAATGCCTGCGCTATATCTGCATCCATCGCCCATACTACCGGCGCCACAGTGCATGAGGCCGGGGAGTATGGGGGTGTTGTCTCTGGGCCTCTCCTCTGTGTCATACAGCGGAGACAGTGCGTCTGCCTTCACGTTCTTCGTACCCGGAATGTATGAGAGTGTGAAATCAAACCAGGTGAAAAAGAGGGCCCACCTGGCCTGGCAAGGATTCAGCCTCCTCGCTGCCCGAATGTACTCCAGGTTACGGTGGTCTGTCCAGACGAGGAAAGGGTGTTTCACCCCTTCGAGCCAATGTCTCCATACCGTCAAAGCTCGGACAACAGCCAGCAGCTCCCGATCACCAACGCCGTAGTTCTGCTCTGCCGAGCTGAGCTTCTTAGAAAAGAAGGCACATGGGCGGAGCTTGGGTGGCGTGCCCAAGCGTTGGGATAAGACAGCTCCTATCCCTACCTCGGACGCATCCACCTCCACTACGAACGGTAGTGATGGACCGGGGTGAGCCAGTAACGGGGCTGAGGTGAACAGACCCCGCAATCCACTGAAGGCCAAATCAGCCAGCGGAGCCGGGACGGCCCACCCTTCAACAAGGAGGTAATGGGAGCTGCAACCTTGCCAAAGCCCCGAATAAACCTTCGATAGTAGTTGGCAAAGCCAAGGAAGCGCTACACCTCCTTTACCGTGGTTGGAGTCGGCCAATTATGCACGGCTGCAATGCGGTCTCCCTCCATCTCCACACCTGTGGTGGTAATGCGATATCCGAGGAAGGAGATTGACTGCTGGAAAAACTCACACTTCTCTGCCTTGGCATAAAGATCATTTTCCAGCAGTCGGACCAGTACCTTGCGAACCAGGGACACATGCTCGGCGCGCGTAGTGGAATAACCCAGGATGTCATCGACGTAGACCACCATACCGCGACCAAGCATGTCCCGAAACGCCTCGTTCACAAAGGACTGGAAAACGGATGGCGAATTCATCAAACCGTAGGGCATCACCAGGTATTCATAATGCCCCGAGGTTGTGCTGAATGCCGTTTTCCACTCATCCCCTTCCCGAATACGCACCAGGTTGTAGGAACTCCTGAGGTCTAATTTGGTGAAAAAGCAGGCCCCATGCATTCACTCAATCACTGAAGGAATGAGGGGAAGAGGATAACTAAATCGTACCGTCACATTATTCAGTGGTCGATAATCAATGCACGGGCGTAAACCGCCATCTATCTTCTTCACAAAGAAGAAACTCGAGGAGGCAGGTGAAGTGGAGGGACGTATATACCCCTGGCGCAGGGACTCGGTGACGTGGCGCAGTGGTCTAAGGCACTGCATCGCAGTGCTAACTGTGCCACTAGAGATCCTGGTTCGAATCCAGGCTCTGTCGCAGCCGGCCGTGACCGGGAGACTCATGGTCGGCGCACAATTTGCCCAGCGTCGTCTAGGGTAGGGGAGGGGAATGGCCGGCAGGGATGTAGCTCAGTTGATAGAGCATGGCGTTTGCAACGCCAGGGTTGTGGGTTCGATTCCCACGGGGGGCCAGTATTAAAAAAATATATATAATCACTAACTGTAAGTCGCTCTGGATAAGAGCGTCTGCTAAATGACTAAAATGTAAAATGTATGTTTCCATAGCCTCCGTTTCAGCCTGCGACAGGGGATACACATGACTCCTGGGAGGTACAGCATCTTCCCGAAGGTTTATCGCGCAATCCCCCTCCCGATGAGATGGTAATTTAGTCGCTTGCGTCTTGGAAAACGCAAGCGCCAGATCATGGTATTCGGGGGGAATGCGCACGGTGGGGGGTACCGTCTGGACTTTCCACCGTGGTCGCACCAACGGAAACACCTAGACAACTACCCGGACACTCACGCGACCACCCCGTAAGAACCCAATGCGGCCATGAGAAATTGGGGTTGTGAAGGGCTAACCACGGGATACCCAAGACTACAGGGTAAGCAGGAGACTCAATAATCATAAAGGTGATCTGCTCAACATGTGTCTCCTGCGTAATAATGGTGACTGGTACCGTAACTTCCTTAACCAACCCGGAAACCTAATGGTCGACTATCAAGTGCTCTGATGGGGAGTGGAATGGTTAGGAGAACCAATGAAATGCCTTGACGGCGTGCACATGCCCTGTCCATAAAATTCCCAGCTGCGCCTGAATCGACTAGTGCCTTACACTGGGAACCTACCAAGTGATCGGGAAAGGAGATAGACAAAGTACAGTGCGCCGCAAAGGGCTCTGAACACGTTTGGGTGTTCGTTACCCTGGGGTGATGCGTGAGTACCCTGCCTACCGCCTCCAGACCCAAAAGAAAGTTGACTGTGACGTGAGGGTGGATTGTCCCTTCGTGCCACCAGAGTGGCACTTTCGCTGTCCTCCTGCGCTCTCGACCGGCGGCTCCACCCAGCTCCATCTGCTCGGGTTCAGAGTCGTCCGGAGTGGGAATGGGCAGACCCCTACCAGGACGTTCTCTGGCTGCTAGCAGATTGTCCAGCCGGTTGGCCATGTCCACCAGTTGGGAGAACGATAGCATGGTATCCCGGGAGGCTAGCTCCCATCGGACGTCCTCCCTTAGGTGGCACCGGAAATGGTCGATCAGGGCCCGCTCGTTCCACCCGGACCCCGCTGCCAGCGTCCGGAACTCCAGCGTGTAGTCCTGAGCGGTCCTCGTCCCCTGCCTCAGATGAACCAGTCGTTCGCCCGCCTCTCGACCCTCAGGCGGGTGATTAAAAACGTCCCCAAAGAGGCGAGCAAACTCCCCGTAGTCCTCCAACGCGGTACCTCCCTCGTTCCACACCGCGTTGGCCCACTCCAGGGCTCTCCCACAAAGGCAGGAAACGAGGACGGATACCTTCTCCCGCTCCCGGGGCTCCGGCCTGATTCTGGAGAAATACAACTCAAGTTGGAGTAGGAATCCCTTACATCGCGCTGCCATCCCATCAAACGCCAGTGGTCGGGATATCTGGATCCCTCCAGGGGCTGGGGTGTAGGTGGTTGGATCCGGTTGACCAGCTGTTCTCGATAGATCGGATCCTTTCCTCTCCAGGCGTTCTACCTCCTGAAGTACCCGATCCATTGCTTCCCCCAAGCTGGCCAACATTGAGGAATGCTCCTGGACCCTTGTCAGAACTCCAGGCATGCAGTCTTCTCCTGCTGACTCCATATCAGATCAGGTGAGTGATTCTGTGACGAGGTGTGAATGAAGGAGTCAGGCGCAGGAGGTAAAATATCGAAGTCCAGAGTTCATTCCGTTTACATAAATCAAATGCCCCAAGCGTCAAACGAAACTATTACAAGGGAAAACATCCACCTTGGCATAAACACAGTGAACAGTAGCTCAACCGAGCTACACGCTCTCACAACAAACAATCACTCACAAAGACAAGGGGAACAGAGGGAACACATATACACATACTAATTAGGGGAATGAGCACCAGGCATGTGTGATTGACAAGACATGACAAGTGGAGTGATGAGAATGGGATCGGCAGTAGCTAGTACTCCGGTGACGACGAACGCCAAAGCCTGCCTGAACCAGGAGGGGGGGGGGCAGCCTCGGCGGAAGTCGTGACAGCTCTTTTTATACTTTGAGGGAGTTGTGTGTTCTACTATGAGCTGTCTCCCCTCTGTTTGTCTTCTCCAGTGTGTGGAGGGTCAGGATGCAGTCGCAGGGAGCTGGCAATGACAGGCCAGTCTGCACAGAGAGAGCAGCCATTTTTGTGGAGGCTCCCTTATCAACAAAGAGTGGGTCCTGATTGCTGCTCGTTGCTTCCCCAGATAGAAAGACCTAACCTTACCCATCCCCCAACCCTTACAGTATATTATGTTAATGTGTGATTGAAATGTCTATCTATGCTGTATTTTCCTATGTACTGTTTTATCTATTGTATCCATGTACTTTGATGACAACTCTGCCATGTCAATTAAATTAAAGGAACTTTATGACTGCCTCGCCTGGTTCACCAACTACTTCTCAGATAGAGTTCAGTGTGTCAAATCGGAGGGCCTGTTGTCTGGACCTATGGCAGTCTCTATGGGGGTGCCACAGGGTTCAATTCTTGGGCCGACACTTTTCTCTGTGTATATCAATGATGTCGCTCTTGCTGCTGGTGACTCTCAGATCCACCTCTACGCAGACGACACCATTTTGTATACATCTGGCCCTTCATTGGACACTGTGTTAACAAACCTCCAAACGAGCTTCAATGCCATACAACAATCCTTCAGTAGCCTTCAACTGCTCTTAAACACTAGTAAAACTAAATGCATGCTTTTCAATCGAACGCTGCTAGCACCCCGCCCCACCCGACTAGAATCACCACTCTCGACGGGTCTGACCTAGAGTATGTGGACAACTACAAATATATAGGTGTCTGGTTAGACTGTAAACTCAACTTCCAGACTCACATAAAGAATCTCCAATCCAAAGAAATCGGCTTCCTATTTCGCAACAAAGCCTCCTTCACTCATGCTGCCAAACATGCCCTCGTAAAACTGACTATCCTACCGATCCTTGACTTCGGCGATGTCATTTATAAAATAGCCTCCAACACCCTACTCAGCAAATTGGATGTAGTCTATCACAGTGCCATCCGTTTTGTCTCCAAAGCCCCATACACTACCCACCACTGTGACCTGTACGCTCTTGTTGGCTGGTCCTCACTACATGTTCGTCGTCAAACCCACTGGCTCCAGGCCATCTATAGATCACTGCTAGGCAAATTCCCGCCTTATCTTAGCTCATTGGTCACCATAGCAGCACCCACCCGTAGTCTGCGCTCCAGCAGGTATATCTCACTGGTCATTCCCAAAGCCAACACCTCCTTTGGCCGCCATTCCTTCCAGTTCTCTGCTGCCAATGACTGGAAACGAATTGCAAAAATCTCTGAAGTTGGAGACTCTTATCTCCCTCAATAACTTTAAGCATCAGTTGTCAGAGCACCTTACCGATCACTGCACCTGTACACAGCCCATCTGAAATTAGCCCACCCAACTACCTCATCCCTATATTGTTATTTAATTTGCTCTTTTGCACCCCAGTATCTCTATTTGCACATAATCTCTTGCACATCTAGCATTCCAGTGTTACTCCTATTGTAATTATTCTGCACTATAGCCTATTTATTGCCTTACCTCCATAACTTGCTACATTTGCACACACTGTATATATATTTTCGTTGTATTTCTGACTTTATGTTTTTTTTTACCCCATATGTAACTCTGTGTTGTTTTTGTTGCACTACTTTGCTTTGTCTTGGCCAGGTCGCAGTTGTAAATGAGAACCTGTTCTCAATGGCTTACCTGGTTAAATAAAAGTGAAATAAAAAATAAAAATAAACTAGAAAAGTACATTTCCTAAAGAAAATGTGTGCTTGCTGGCTGGTCTTGCAGTATTAATGGTTGTCAAATAGGTTGTAGCAGTGGTAGTGACTCCAGAGAGGTGACATTATCTCTCTAAAATACATCACAGAATTGTGTAAACGGCATCAGCCAAGCACACTAATAGTCTAATAATCACATTAATAATTGTTAGTCTCAACTCTCTTCATTCTCAGCACCAGCACGTCCGCCTGCTTGTCCACCTGGGTCGGCAGAATCAGCAAAGCATCAACTTCAACGAGGCATCCTAAACGGTCTCTCAGATCATCCACCCCCGAACTACACAGTGCAACCGCAACATGACATGTCTGCTGAAGCTCCGTCATCTGTCACCTTCACTGACTACATCCAGCCGGTTTGCATGGCAGCAGTGGGCAGCACCTACTACACTGGCTCTACTAGCTGGGTCACCGGATGGGGCGATATCAATAGTGATGGTGAGATCTGATGGTCCCGACGCTGGACTTTGCATTGACAATCAATACATACCATTTATATACAGTACAGTCAAAAGTTTGGACACACCTACTCATTCCAGGGTTTTTCTTTATTTTTACGATTTTCTACATTGTAGAATAATAGTGAAGACATCAAAACTATGAAATAACACATATGAAATCATGTAGAACCAAAAAAGTGTTAAACAAATCAAAATATATTTTATATTGAAATTCTTCAAATAGCCACCCTTGCTTGATGACGCTTTGCACTCACTTGGCATTCTGCAACCAGCTTCAACTGATAGCTTTTCAACAGTCTTGAAGGAGTTCCACATATGCTGAGCACTTGTTGGCAGCTTTTCCTACTTGGGCAACTC